CTGCACTGGAAGCAAACTGAAATCAGGCCCATCAGGCTTGACAAGCAAGTAGGACACGGCGCTGGTGTTTTTGCCAAGGCCTGGCTGTCGAAAGGAGTTTTACGTTTAAATCATCTCTCCCATTCCAGGAGATGCACTAAAGTCACGAAAACCCCCTAAGCTGGCCGCCGCCGACCACCGACTGTGGTCGTTGAAGGTTAGATCGACCCGTAAACGCGATGTCTGGTATCAGATGTAAAGAATGCTTGAAACATGGACCTAATACTCTGAGCTGTTGAACTCTCTTCTGCGCAAGGAATGACAGGTCGGAGCAGAAGAGCTCAGAGAGGCTCAGAGCTCACTCACAGCCGAAGGACGATCACCGTTATGTCGTCCTTGCATTCCACCAGAAAAGTCGCAAGTTCTCAAACTTTTTTTCAACTAGACTACGCTCCATCGCAGGATCAGAGATTTCGGGATCCGCGCCTGCTTCCTCCTCTTGTCGGGACCCGCAGGCAGGGACCGGAGCTGCTCCTGATGCAAGCAGGAGGGTGCGCAAACTGACATGTCACTTGACAAGATGTCGGCATGCACCGGACATGACACAAGCTGCACAGCCGCACAGCTCTTTCCCATCTTCTGGGTTCGGGTCTATGTCTTTCTAAAGCCTCCGTCCGACATCACCGAAGCCAAGAGAAGCATGCGAACCGGCGATTGCCAATTCAATACAGAGTGCCTCCCAAGATGCTCTCCAGCCCTTGGGGCTCTCTGAGAGTCCGACGAGGGATTTTTATGCAAAAGTGCACAGAGTCTATGTCACAGAGTGTACAGCGCCATAAGGCGAAGCTGGCTGAAAACCTGTGAGGAAGCACGGATTACCCTGGATTGCGTTCGCGTGCTGATCTGACCTCCCAGGAATGTGTGGAACAAGGAACAGATACATGCCCTTTCCGGCTCAGCTTCCTCGACAGAGTAGGTCCTTTTACAGGAAAACCAGCGAGCTACAACTTGAGCTACAACCTGAGAAGCCAAAAAACAACAAGAACGACGCCTAGTGATACATGAAGCCCGTGTGTCAGATGTGTCAGAAGCGGTTTTCTAAGAACTGAGAGAAGCCATGGAGCCGCGGAGCCATGGAGCGTCCCCCTCTGTCAGTTTACCATCGGGTAAATGAAAGAATCCGGGACACAGAGCCACGAGAGCCATAAGGCTCCAGGCTCACAGAGCTCAGGGCCTCTCTGGGGGTTGGGGGGGCAGTCGCTTCAAAAACTGGGGCAAAGTTTTGCCTTATCCTTCAGGATCTTGGACATGGAGGGGGTAGGAAGGCCACGCATTTATGCACTGAATTTCTTGGAGGCCTCCATGCTCTGGAAAGCCTGTGCCCCAAGTTCCACGTCCACAGGGACGTCCTAACACATCTTTCCAACAGATGCCTCTCGCTCCGGAGTTGCGGAACCCCGGCGGTCTCCAGCTCCTGTTCCTTGCCTTCCTGATGGGATATGGCCATCTTCCGGGATCGATCAGGGCATATCGCAGCTATCAAGGGCCCATACGAGTACTATCTGGATTGCACGTGGGCTGAAGAGGCGAGGGATTACTTGCATGGAAACAAAAAAGAGCTGGAGATGCGAGGCCTAAACTTAAAGATCGTGTTGCCGGGCTTCACAACGTGTTTTTGCACAGTGGAAGCCAAAGGCTGAAAGGAAACTTACCAAAAATTCTGCCGTCATGATGTTTCACGCCGATGTATTTTGCAATTTTGTACAGCCGTTACTGATACTGGGGGAGCATCAGCTCTGCCGCTCTGCCCCCTCCCCCCCTCTCCCCGAAAAAAAACGCGAGGCGTACCGGGGAGGCCACACACCAAGACACCAAGTCTGGTGTTCCCGCAGCACCGCATTGCCGTGCTTTATGCTTGGCATGGCTTGGCCGTGTGGTTGACGCAGAGGTGTGTGAAAAGTTGAACCTTTGCAGCATGCGCTGAGCTCCCGAGAAAGGATCAGGGAGCTCTTGGCCTGGCCATGGGTATGCGCAACTCCATTCCTGAGGCCATGTCGCCGGAGAAGTCACTCAGCTTCACGATGGTGCCTTGGGTACACTGACATGTGTCAGCAATTCTCCAAAAAGGCCAGAAGACAGGCAATGCACATGAGTCAACTAGCACACAGAAGAAGGTGAGCGACTGATGTTCGATCTGCAGTGTGGACAGTGGGCCCCGCCGCAGGCTTGGTTTTGAACGATTTTCGTGACGCACGCTTCGCAGACGGAGCCATGCGAGCAGGGCAGTAGCACCATGCAGCCTGGCTCATCCAGGCAAACCACGCAGCGCGGCACCACGGACTCCTGACGCAACGATAAAGCCGACAGAGCTGAGATGAGCTGAGGAACTCTAACATCCGCTCTGACATCCGCCTCTCCCAGAGCGCTGCCGTTCTCAACATCATGAACTTGCCATACCTGCCTTAAGTCCCAACACAGTGACAGCGTGCTTGATGGGATGTTCACCAAAATCTCATGCTCTAACTGCACAAAGCATATCAGAGTCCAAGAACCAGAAGAAGCTACAAAGGCGATATACGAGGCGACACCAGTACAACGAACATCATGAACATCAGTTGACGGCTCCCCTGTCCGATTGCGAGTTGATGAGTTGATAATATTACGAGCTGCGCGGGTTCCGACGCTTCTGCTGCCTCTGCCGTCTGTTTTGTCTCAGGTTCCTTGGATGTACGAGCTGGCAAACATTGGCAAACCGTTCGGCCATTCTTGTGACTTAACGAGAAACCAGCTTGCCGCACGTCAAGCAGTTGCCAAGCCTCTTTTTCTCTCGCTGACACTTCTCGCCAGAAAGCCCTGCCAGCTTTCTGGAATTGGAAGAACTGGATGGGCCCGCTTTCGCAATAAAGCAAATCTTCGGGCTTCACCTGCAACGTTCAACAAAGCTCCACAGCTTGACCTTCCGTTCTTCCATGCCGGAAGGATGCACGTGACAGGCACAAGTTTCCAACCAGGCGGCCCATGCGGAGACATGGTTTCTTCTGCGACAGCCTGACATTCTACTCGCTGGCACACAAACTCGATGACAACTGCAAAGCCTTCTGCGGGAATGAGCCATGCAGCTTCTCCGCCTTGGCAAACGAAGGAGGGAGTGTCGGCCGCAGCGTACCTGGCAGAAACATCAAGACAAAGACTAAGACTGAGACTAAGACTAAGTCTGAGACTTAGACTGATTACTGAGGTGAGACCCCTTCTGCATGTGGAATACGAATGCAAGCTGTAGTGGAGTCATTTAATGTCCAAGCCGCTGCTGTTGGTGACAGGAGCCACACTCGACCTGAGGCGATCATAAAGTGAGCGCCACAGGAAAGAGAGGGAATCAAGCTGCCCAAACATGCACTGTGAACAACCAAAGAAGTCTTGCTTCTGTTGATGGTCATTCCTGCTGCTGCGTACCCCTCGGGCTGCAATACGCCTCAGCCCACATCTAGGAATTTTTGAGGACCAGTGGCACGTCGGGTCGCTTGGCCTGCACTGCGTTGCAGGATGTGCAACACGACTCGTGGGCCGAGGATTAGCACCTGAAGCGCCGGAACAAGCTTGCCTCAAAGCTTTCCGGGAAAGGTTCCATAAAGTTGAGCTCAGCACCAGTACCAAGCATGTGGCCAGGCCAATGAAGATGTAGGCATCGTTTGACCTCACATCTTCCTGCTCTCGGATGCCGTCGCCAGGCCATCACAAGGGCCAGGGCTATTCTTGCAGGTCTGGGGGGTAAAGAGATACAGATGGTAAGGGAATGTAGAGGAGTCAGCCAGAAAGAGGTCTGGGAAAGGCAATGAAGCTTTTGCCCAGTCCTGCACGCTGGCCAGGGAGCTCTCCACCTCGTCTCCCACCATGGACCATGCGCCATCAGAATATCCGCTCATGTCCACTTGCAGCCTCTTATCTTCACAACTTTCTGGAGCAAAGCACGTCATGAACACGCTCAAATTCACTCTTAAAGCCTCTTGAAGCTTGTTCTCTGCAATAACATGTTGCTACCGACTCCGAAGCTTGGCTGAAGAAAACGCCCCTCCCATGGCCTTCAGAACACAGCCAGCGCGGCACTTGAGCTGCAAAAAGCGCTGCGGTCATGGTGGGATGTAAACTTCGAGGATACCGGCTAGCAATCCAGAGCATACATACATAGTTGGCCACCTGGCACCTTGAAAGGAAACTTGAGACTGTGGCAACAACAGATAGACACGTGCCGGTGTCTTGGTGTTCCAACGAGCAACAAGGGGGGAAGGGGGGAAGGGGGGGGGGGGTTGGCAGGTGCGGCACGGTCACACTTGGACCCACTGAAATGCTTGAGACAGAGAGAGAGGGAGCGAGGGAGAGAGAGAGAGCTCCCATGCTCCCAGGAGCTAGCATTCGTGGCTAGCACAGACTTCAGAAGTAAGGAACGCAGTGGGCACAATGCACGGTAGTTGCTGACACGCTGTTTAGCTTCTTCGTGGCTTTCTTGGCTCACCCCTCCTCTCAGACCGAACGGCAGAATTGCAGCATAGACGCATCAATAAGTCATGTTATGAATGGTCCCGCTTGCTTCTCCAGGTGTCAGTTTGCATGTATGTTGGGAGCTTGCTTGCGATGGTTGCGTCAGCGCTGCAAACTTGCTACCAAGCCAATGAAATCCAGAAACTTCAATCGGAAGGGCTGGGTGGCTCTGCGCCGTGTGTCTTGATGTGTCTTGCTTCGGATCTGAGGATCCGCCCCAAATCGTGGAGAGTCAAAAAACCGAAAAGCAGTAGGAAAAGTAGGGAACTCAAGGAATAGACTTTGCTCAAAAGGACTGAAGCCCTCCCTCAACTTGCGGCGCCACCTCCGAGAGCCCATGCTTCCGGGCACAGCGTTGAAGAGCCCGACGCAGGAGTTGCTGGGCCTCTGCTGAGCACTCTGACCCATCGCTGCAACTGTGGTTAAGTCATGTTAAGTCCCCCAACATTCCCGAACCCCCCCCCCCCCCCAAAAAAAAAAAAACT